CCTACCTCTCCCCACAAGGCGCCCTTCTGGAAAATGAGGGAATTAGCGCCTCTGGGAGCCACGGAGAGTTCACGGGCCAGCAGAGTGCCATAAGGTGGCAGCCTGGGGTAGCCCAGGGTGAGACCTGGGTGGCCCCATCGCCCCGCCTTTTCCTGCACCTCTGGAGGCCATTCCCCTTCCCTCATCACCACAGTAGAGGGGACCTAGGAAACGTGCTACTTTGTTCTGTCATAGAGTCCTTACCAGGCCTGAAAGTCCCGCAGTGCTGAGACCCAGTCTGTCTGTCTGTCTGTCTGTTGGCACAGAGGAGAGATGGCAGTTTCCCTTCTCCCACTGCCTCTCATGCTGGGGAGGGAGAGCCAAGCTGAAATAAGAGGAGGGGGCAAGGTGGGGTATCTCAAGTCCTTTCCAAGTGCTTTGGTTCCAGGCCCCAGTCGGCCTTGAACAGTTCTGAAGAGGAAGGGGCTTCGTGCATACCGGAGCGGCAGCCATTCTTCAGGAAGCCTTGCAGTGGTGCTCTAGGATGTTGAGGCTCTGTCTGCAGGGAGGCCCGGGGCTGCCTGAGCAGGTGAGGGAGGTGCATGCAATGAGCAGGGCTAGTCATTCTGAGGCCCAACCTGAAAGCCTATATCTGCTCCAGGGTGCAGCCCTAGGACAGACCCTGGCCCTGGAGGTACACAGTGACTCTTCCCTTCTCGGCCTGCAGTATTGCCCCCACTGGCCCCATCAGCCAACCTCTGAGGCTCAGGTTAGCCATGATGGTGATCCCATTCATCAGACCAGTCGTGTGCTACACAAATGAATGAGTGAAAGAATGGATGGCTTGGGCAGGAAGATCCTAGCTTGGTCCCAAGCCATGTCCCCCTGGGATGTCAGAACACATGGAGAGCAGCACAGGCCTGTACTGGGTTTGTTTGTGTGAGAAGCCTGGAGCTTCCTGGGAATAAAGTCACCCAGGACTCGAGACACACATCTTTGGGTTGAGGATGATGGCTCAGTGCTGGGGCGGGCGGGGGCGGGGGGAGGTGGTCATTTAAAATTTGTTTGTTGGCTAGCCATATTTACCTTGTCCAGAAAAGGATTTCACCAAGTATATAGAAATGCAGGTAGACAATAGGATAAAATGAACACGAAGGCAAAATAAGAGGGTCCCCTGGGGGAAGGAAGTGAGAGGCAGAAGGTTGCAGGGCTGGTTGGAATCTCAAGTCCATAAAATTCTGTGGCCTCCATCTCCTCATCTCTAAAATGGGGTAACATAGAATCTTGGGCTGTTGTGAGGATTAAATGAGATGAAACCCGTAAAGCAGTCAATATAGTGATTGATACAAACCACTCAATACATAACCAATCATCAATCGATCAATAATCAATAACTTGATTATTGCATGCCCCACAGCCCAGTTGCTGGGCCTGACAATTGGAATCTTAATGTCCTAATAGACCAAGCAGAGAGGGAAGTGATCAGTCAGTACATCCACAAGTCTGTGGGGACCCAAATAGCTGCCGGGGAGAAGAACATTCATTCTAGGGACTGAGGCCTGGGAGAATGGCTTTCTTCAAATCCTTATAGGTGCACACCAAGACAGCATTGCAGACAACATTCCTATCAAGAGGCTATTGGCAGCCCTCTGCCCAGTGCAGTCCAAGAGAAAGTATTCTGTGAGGACCCAACCCCATGGACCTGGTCCATGGTCCCTCAGGCTAGTAACGTCTGGAATCCTGGAGCAGTGAGGGCCCGCCTTGTTTGTGGACGAGTGGCCCGGGCCTGTTGCTCAGCCATGCCCAGGAACCCAGGGATCAGTGCCCAAGGCCCAGGGGAAGACTGTGGTGAAGAGCCGCATAGACTCTGAGACCTGCTTCCCGAGGGCTCTGGGACACTGGAGCACAAAAGATGAGCTCCTCAGCTGCCTTTCTTTGTCCTTCAAGGCACACCTAGACCGGTGCGGCCCTGGCTCACCCACCGCCAACTTGGCTTGAGCCCTATAGAGTGCAACCTTGACTGCAAAGACTGCTTCCTCATGAAGGCTGGTGGCTGCCCTCCCCAGGCCATCTGCCCTTGCTGCCTGCAGGCCATTCTCTAGCATTACCTGGCCTGGCCCTTTGTCTTGCCGTCTTACTCTAAGCCACACCAAACTCCAGCTCCTACACTCCTCCCAAGGTTTCTCTAACTCTTGCTCGCCCCCAGGCCTTTGCACCTGCCGTTCTCTTTGGCAAAAACCCACTTCACCTGTACCCTTTGCTTCTGGCTAATTCTCCAACTACCGGTTCAGAGGCTACTTCCTCTAGGAACACTTCCCTAAGCCCTAGATTGAGTGAGGCTCCTCCACTGTGCCCCCAAACTCCTCTCCTGCCCTCACAGGTGCACATATGGCTCCAAGCTGGAATTGCCTGTATCCTTTCCAGTATCCATTTCACATTCCATGGGGGCAGAGCTTTGTCTCAAAAGGGTCTCATTGTCTCCCTGGTGTCTAGCACAAGGCCTGATACATAGACATTGTTGAATGAATGAGGCAGGGGCCATGGTGTCTTCTGCGGGGCTCAGTATCCCAGTCATTGGTTTGGCAGAGGCTATAACCAGAAACGTCATCGCCGCAGCGACCTGGAGCAGTAGCGGGAGAGGGCTGCCATCAGGTGGAAAACAAGAGGATTCTTCTGTCTGGAGGTTTTCAGGGGGCAGTGTCCATGGAGTGAATAAGGGTGAAGGAGATGAGGGTGGCACCCAGTAAGTAGTGCTTTGGGGCTGTTGCCGTAACCTCCAATTCTTGTTCCTTGTATTGTTTTAATATCCCTAGGTTGGAGTGACCTCTAAACGTGGGTTCTCAGATGAAGGGAACATCAGACCTCAGTGGAAACCAAAGACATTAGAGCTGGAAGGTCCAGGGAAGGTCCAAGAAAAAGGGCCAGCTGGTAGGACATGCTTTAGTGAGGGTTACTCTGTTCTCATGCGTTTTACATCCTGGGGTTCTGCCTATGACTTCACTTGTAAAGCGAGTTCAACTGCTGAGACATAATGAAAAGCCACTGATCAAGTCCAGAGCAGTCAGTTACTGGCTTCCTTCCCCAGGCCTTCCTGCCAGCCACTTGCTTGGGGTGTGAGCAACACCAGTCAACATTCATCGGAGCAGCCGCTAGGTGAAGTTAGACTTGAGTGAGAAGTCAGTCTACAGCGCCTGTAATGATAAGGGCTATGTTTGGTCCAATGATGTCCCATCCCCAGGGCCTCTGCAGTCAGATCCCACAAAGCGGGCAGTGGGGCCGATGTGACATAGACACTGTCTGAGTGTGCAGGCACAATAAGGCTTGGCCACAGCTGTCATTTAATAAATGCTGCTAAATGAAAGAGAAGAAAGCTGGTTGGCTGAATGGATGGCTGGATATTCTTAAAAGGGAGTTTTTTTAATGCCCGGTGTAGGCAGCAATTTTAACTTCTGGGTAGTTCTAAGGAGGGAGTCAACCTCTAGGAACAAAGGGCAGATCATAATCAGGGTATCAGCCATGGTGTGCCTAAAAGCTTGCATTAAAATAAAAGTGTTTGAGAGAGATCGCTTTTCTTAAGTAGGTTAAGCATCTCTGTTGCGATCCTGCTATAAGCTTAGCAAAGCCTTTTTTTCTTTTTCTTTTTTTTTTTCCCTTTTTGCCTTAGAGTGTTCAAAGGCCAGCTTTAGCCGAGCCCATGTCCAAATTAGGCCAACTCCATGCTGGTGCTGCTGGAATTCCTGACAGCTCTGCCTGCCGACCTCACTGATTGATCAGCTCTGCAATCGCCTGGGATGGCGTTGACGGATTCTCCGTGGCTTAGGTTTGTTGCTGTGTCTCCCTGCATTGAACCTCAGAAACCATCCCCCCTTGTTACTGATGGTCCCTATGAGGCCCAGAAGTGACTCTGTTAAAATATTATCTCCTCTAGGGACACTTTGGGACTGGACATGCTTGAGGCAGATGTCAAGCAGGGCGGAGGCATTAGCACTGTGCATGGGAAAGAAGAAATCTAGCAAGTGGAAGAACATGTTGTAACCTTACTCTATGCGGCCTGGTGGGCGGCAAGGGCACCGGAGGGGTGCTGCGAAGTGCCAGCTTGCTTCCAGGGCCGGCTAGTCCTGTGCGTGGAGGAATGCGCTGCCCAACTAGCCCATGAAGGTAAATAATTAACAACTTGCTCTAACAAGAAAGACAGAGAGAGACAGAGAGAGACAAAGAGGGAGAGAAAGAAGGAAAGAAAGCAAGGAAGGAAGGAGGGAGGGAGTAAGGGAGGGAGGGAGTAGTAGAGTTTGATGCTTTCCACGGTATAAATTCTCCCACCAAGGCCAGATGCACACAACCTTTTTCTAGAGCAGTGTGAGCCTCCTCCAGCACAGTGCTCTCCACCCAAGCCTATTATTTGTTGCACCGAAGCTCAAAGAAGGGCCCAGGGCAGGAGCAAAGCAGAAAGAGAACCTAGACTTCCAACCCCAGCCTGGGGCTGGCTCTACGATGCCATCTTAAAGGAACTTTCCAGAATGCTCCCAATGCCCAGTGTCTTTTAGCCTGGGACCCTGAGAAGATGGGTGCTAGTGGGCTTCTAGGGTCTCGGGGGCTGCCTGTGCTGGCCTGGCCCCAGGCGTTCAGGGGCATTAGTCCTGGTGACTGAAAGCTAGAGCTTTCTCAGTTACACAAGCCAGGTGATGACAGGTATGTGGTGAAGTGACAGAGGCTCGGGGCCCAGTGCAGGGCATCTCCAGCACGGACTTATCCCTTATTCCAGCTGCATTCTACAACTTCAGTTTGCCCTGCCCCTTGTGAATGTGTGTGTTTTAAATTCCTTTTTCCTACTTTTTTTTTTCTTTCACCAAATGTAGTGACAGACTTTGATTTGTGTTGTCTTTGCTCTGGGTGCCGTGTGACTGTGCTGGTCTCTGAGCCCCTATGGGCCCTAGTTCCATCATCCACCCTGTCTTGGTCAGCTCGGGCTGCTGTAACAAAATATCACAGACTGGGCAGCTTAAACCATAGACATTTATTTCTCACATTCTGAAGGCAGAAAAGTTCAAGATTAAGGTGCTGGCAGATTCAGTTCCTGGTGAGATCTGTCCCCCTGGCTTGCAGATAGCTACATTCTTGCTGTGTCCTCCCATGACCTCTTCTTCGTGTGTACAGGAAAGAGCTTTGCTCTGTCTTCCTCTCCTTATAAAGGTACTAATCCCCTTATGGGGGCTCCACCCTTATGAACTCATCTAAACCTAATTACCTCTCAAAGGCCCCACCTCCTAATAGCATCACACTGAGAATTAGGGCTTCAGTGTATAAATTTGGGGAAGACACAAACATTCTGTCTATAACATGCCCTAAATGCCCTTCTAAAAGCTTCTTTGTGAACTGGGTTTGAGTGGGGTGAAGACTACCCCATGGAACAGCATCATGGTGGTGGCGTATTCTCAGCTGGTCCCTGACAACTGGCTGAGTCCACAGTGTCTTTGAGCCAGGGACCCGGCAAGGCTCTGAGGCCAGGGACTCCTGCCATGGAGGGTCCACTGAAGCCTCCACTTAGGGACTAGTAATGGAAGGCTTCCTGCTAGAGATGATGATGCTGGGAAGCCATCTTTCCTAGGATGACGAGCCTCTGCAAAGGCTAGGGGGAGGCTGTGAGGACATTGGGAGCCTCAGAAGGACAGAGTTGGGAAACTTGAGAGTGGCCCAGTCACCAAGCCTCAGGGTTTAGCCTTAGGCAGGGAAGGAGGGGTTCACAGCACTGAGTATCTGGGGCTCCCTGGGTGACTGCAGGGGAGGAACTGATGTCAGCCAGAGCTGAGTTCCAACCCCAGCTGTTGTCAACTCCCTGTGTGACGTCGTGTTCTATGAGCCCAGCTTCCTTGTTGGTAAACTATTCACAGAATTGTAAGAAGTATATTAAAGAAGCCCCTTGCACAGTGCCTGGCACAGAGTGGGGTCAATATGTGTTGTTCGTGTCCTGTTTCTCACATGAATCTAACTAGCAAGCATTTATTAAACATGTACTGTGTCCCCCTCCCTGTGACAGGCCACACTCAGCAGATGGGGTAGCTGTTCCAGGGGCCTATGGCCTGGCAGTGGGGGTGGAGTGGATCCACAAGACAGACTCAGATCAATGGGAGTGTCCTAAAGGCCTCCTTTGTCTCTCTGAGTCTGAAACTGGTGGGGATTGGGCCATTTTTGCCAAGGAGGAGAACAGGGGTGTCAGAGGTGTGGCGCAGGTGTTCATTCATTAGATGCTTCTGAGCTGCTGCCTACATTGCCTAGAGGAAGTTCCAGCACCCTGAAACTAAGAGGGTAAAGGCAGAGGTGAGGTACGATCTAGAAAGTTGTAAAGGGGAAACTGAGGTGCTACCGCTTATTGAGCACCGAGTCTGTGCCATGCCTTGTGTCAGGACTTGTGCATGCTGACTTCATCTATGCCATGGACTGTATCGATCCCATTTTATAGATAAAAGAAATAAGACTTAGAGAGAGGGAAGGACCCACCCGGAGGGCCAGCCCCCACCGACTCTCAGGCTCTTCTCCCTCTCCAAGTTTCCCATTTATCCACTTCTGTACTGCTCCCCATTGTCGCCAGGCAGGGGCCACGCCATACTAGGGCCAAGCCTCCAGGTCTGGGGCTGGAGCTGCTGACCAGGCCCTAAGACCAAGGGAGCTGCCCCAGAGGCAAGGCATCGCCAGGAGCGACGGTGGTAGAGGGGTAGAGGTAGAGGGGGCCGCAGGGCGAGCTCCAGGGCCTGGAGGGGAGCTTGGGCCGGTGTCGCTGGCACAGGGACCCGAAGCCATGAGAACCCAGGCGGTTGCTGCCCTTTGAGAGGGCTAGGCGGGACGGCTGGCTTTCTGCCCCTCGCCTCGCAGTCTGGGCCCTTAGTCTGGATCCCCGTTAGCGCGTCGCCACCTAGCGGCGCCTGGTGGAAGCGGCGGTGCGATCTTGTTCTTGCTGGCGGGCCGGGTCTGAGGCGACACCTGACACATTACGGCTGAATGGACAGCAGCATTGTCTGGGAGAGGAGGCTGGAGGGAGGTGGGGCAGCACTCTAAGCCTTGGCCTTGACCCCAGTCCCAGGAGTTTGCTCCCTCCTCAGCTCCAGCAACTGGGCAGAAGGAGAAGAGAGAAAGGGGGAGTTGTGCAGATGCGATGGGGAGGAAGGAA